TGCTGGCTTGCTTCAGACTGATTGATTTGGAGGAAAAAGAAAAGTGAAAAGAGGACTACTGCTCAGGGCCAATCAATACTTCATGGATGATGGGCAGCGCTAAAAGGCAGTTGTGTCTCAGTTGTCTGAAGTATAAGCAGGACTTTTATCTTGTCAAACATTCCATAACTTTAAAATTATATAATAACAATATTTACAGTAAGTTTCAAAAATAATGGATGAATGTTGCATGTTTTGTAAGGCTTCCAACTGCTTTGTAAGAAATAGCTTTCAAATGGCTTTCTGATAGAGTGTAGTACAGACACAATGTAAGATTAACACTGAAGACTCTTAAAAGGGAAGAGAGGTTAGATTTTCTATATTTTATTTGGTCTTAGGGTTTGATGCTTCTCCCTGAGAAACAATTTTGTAAAAAAAGTGTTAGTGGTGGTACCCTTACTATATTAGAGGAATTAGTGATTTGCTGTTTGTTACTGTATATGTTTTGATTTAGCACAAAAGATGCCAAATAAACAGGGTTATAATATTATGGTTAAAAACAGAGACACATTCCTTTCAATTGTAGAGTTTTATATACATTGTTTATTATTCTGATTATGGTGGGGTTTTATTTTGGTCTAAGCTTTTAATTTGAGTAATAATAGTGAAATCGCAGTACATCTAGTATCAGGTGGGATCCTCCTTTTATTTAGAATTCCTGTAAGTCATTCTGGCATAGATATAAAATCTCTGGAATATTCCTCTGAGATTTTTTTTCGTCCTAACTAGACAGCTCTATGCGATTGCAGAATATTTTGTCTGCTGCACATCCATGATGTAAGTCTCCTATTCTATCACTTCGGAAGGGTGCTGTTTTGGATTGAGATCTCAGGCTATTGGAGAACATTGACTTCATTGTGATGGATTTAGATTTTATGATTGATTATTGAATCACTGCAGTATTTAAGCTTGTTGATTCTTTATCATGTCAAACCAGTCTCTGTTTTCTTTTGTTTTCTAACATCATGTGGACATTTCTCCTTCAACAGCTTTGTTGATGTTTTCTCTTTCTTTTTCTGGAACATTCTCTGGAAATCATAGTGTCAACCATAGAGGGAAATCTCACTGGTTCAGCAAATTCCGAAATACTCAGACTAGCTGGTCTGCCACTGAAGAACCATGTCATATTTTCTTAATTGCCCTTAATCCGCAGCACAAAGTTTGGTGTGAATGTCAGCAAGTTGTCCTCACTATGATGCTTTACTGTTCCTTTCAGGTGATCTAACCACTTTTGGATTAAGCATCAACAAGTGAGCCAAATAAAGTAGCTGGTGAGCAAACATGATACTCATCCAATTCATTCCAGGGTAATATCGCTACAAAATAAGACTTGGTAAAAATAAATTTGTACAACCAATGAAACTAATCAAATTGCATTATTTTTATTTTATTTTATCTGACCTCATCATGGTACCTCTCTCCATTCAGTGGATAGAAGATACTTTTGCTTAAACTGGAAAACCCCTATAGCAGTAATGGAGTCAAGAAGTTTCTCACCATGCTCATAACTAACACAATCTTGATAAAAGGTTGTTTCGTTTGCTTTGCCATAAACATGCTGACACGAAATAGACTTCAGCTGCAGCTGAGAAACCTCTTGCTGAGTTAGACTAAAGGCTAAAAGCTTCCTCTCTATGTGAATTTAAAGTTTAGGAATCAGAACATCTATCATTAATAACTTGATAGAAATGAATATAACTTTTTTTTTTTACTTAAACAGTAAACTGTCAACCCTAAGATTTTTCCAAAGAAAATGTTAGATCACTACTCAAGCCATTGAACTATCAAGAAACCTCCACTGTCTGAGGAAAACTTCTGGACAGTGCATTTGATAGTTGCAGTTAACGTGGCATGAAGAGACTGATTGACATTGCTTTCCATCACACCACCCTGCTAGCATAGCAGAACATGAAGCCAACATTTCATACTTCCACTGCCCCCTTTTCTCTTTCTGGTTTAGCATTAAAGAAAATATTATCTGCTGCATCACTTTCTGAGATGCAAAAGTTGCCAAATGTGGAACACAATGCGGAATACACAAAACCACAGCATCCATTTTGTTATGTCTGACCAAACATCTGAAAGAATAGTAAGTTTACTTTGATTTATTTCAGTGTCAGGCAAAGGGGAAAAAAAGTGCTGAAAAGGTTTTAACAGATTGTTCATAGTTGCTGACCCTCATCGTAAAATTCCCAGCCACACTTAATTTTTTTGTCTCTCCAAAAAACCATTGTTCCATAACGGCATTTTGGAATCTGTGAGAAAACAGCAGCCAAAATGTTTTCGATCTTGTTTTATTTCATTTGTGGCCACAGGCCTTGATCAATTTTGAAAACACCTAAAATACCTGTTTGGACTAGATTTGTAAATAATATACATCATTTTTTTATGTTTTAGAAATATTATGTTTGGCATAACATAATGTCCAAGTATTTCTATCTGTATATCTCACTGCAGCTTTCAATTTCTTCCTTCAATCCAAAACTGAATTGAAGAGAGAAATATTATAGACCACAGTGATATCTGCACATAACGTCAGGTATTTTCTCTGGAACAGCAGCTACCATATGGCCAATGTTTTCTTAGCAGCTGTCATACCACAGAATTCAGAAGGATGTCATAATGTCATACCAAATATTCCTTTCAAAAGTGTCAGGTGTCATTACAAAGTAAAAATAAAGTGAGTGCCAAGTGCATTAAACCGCCCTCTGTTTCTTTCGAAAACCTCAAAAAACAAACCTGTGGAAGCAAATGGGGCTCATGTTGTACAGTAGGAGTCTAACCCCACCTCTGGTTATACTGAACGGAGCCCGGACTCTTCACTGGCAGCGGCTGACATTATCTTGGAGGCTGCTCAAAGGGAGCCGAGTTGGAGGTGGAATCTGACCCAAGCAGTGGGATCCGATGCCGGCCTTAGTATCATTCAAAGGGTTTCAATATAGAACTGAATTTTGCACCCAGCAACACTTACAGACTATGCCGTTAGACTGCAAGGAAATCAGTAAGAGAGAGTTTTTTTTTGTAATGTTTTACTGTTATCTAAAAACACAGAAGTGAGTTTGCCAGATAGTGACGTGAGCCTGTTTTTTGTTTTTTTTAAAGTTATCTGTTCGAGCAGATTTTGACACACAGCCACTTGATATCGACGTGTGCTGTCTGTTCACAAATGTTTTAAAAGATTGTGCTTATCTAAAACACACCGAAAGCATACTTTTGAGTGATTGCTCATCATTAGTTTGAGGATGTTTGCAGGTTTGATAAGTTCATTGAGAAAGAGAAATAGTACCTAAAACTAGATGAGCATTCAAAAGTGCATGCAAATTATTGTTATGCCTTCGACTAGGTTGTGTTTTAGTTTTCATTCCTAATAGTTAATTTAAGATAAATGTTCTACTCTTTTAAGATAACATCACCACTGTCATAGACTAGGGTTTCTGAACCCTGGTCCATGACAGCTTTTTGTACCGGCCATACTTTATAGCAGGGGTCTGCAATCTTTTTAAGGTTGAGGGGCACTTCAAAGGTACTGAGCCATACAGTAGGAAGGGCTACAGATACTGACCCATGAACTGCAAGGGTCAATGTTCACCTAAACTTTGTATATTATAAATATATTTTTATTTCTAATTTAAATTATTTTTCAATTACCTTATCAAAAAAAGAACAGTGGTGAGTTGTTCTATTTTCAGAAGACTCCAAGGACACTCCTTGTGGGCCCCTTGGTCCGCGCGGGCATAATGTTGGTGACCCCTGCTCTATATCATATGTAGTTACACTTGCCAAAGTAAAGAACATTCCAACAATGTCATTGTGCCAATATAACACATTAGTACTGTAGTGCAAGTGGCATCAGTGTCATGCAAATGTCATAGGCATGACCCAATGATTATGCTATTCTATACAGACACTTTGTCTGCATCAGTGATGAATATTATGATGTCTTCAGTATAATGAGCATTTGGATTGAAATATGTGGTAGAGGAGACATGCTTTTATACGTTCTGCTAACAGTTATATAGCCACTTCTGGGCCTTGACTGTATATAGCAGCTGTTTCCAATCCTCCCCCAGGAGCTACCAGTAGCTTTACAAGGTTTCGTTGTTATTCAGTAAAAAGCAGTTTTAGGAAATGTTTTGTTGATTTGTTTTAGATTTAGCATATTTTATCCAATCATAAGTCTAAAACTTCCCTACTCATTAGAATACATGTTTTTTTCAGCTCTTATCCAGGGAAGGAGGCAGATCTTGCTTGTGTTCTGATACTCTGACTATCAACGAATATTGAAAGCAGCACAGTTCAGTCAAGTCAGAAAGAGGCAGCAAAATTATTTCCACCAAAAGGGGGAATTGGATTTTTGCTTCACACATATGAACCACAAGCGTGTGTTATTGATCTGTGGAGCAGGCCTAGTAAATGGTACTCAGCTTTATATGAAGTTCAAGGACCCCAAAACGCTTTACACTACATTCAGTCCATCACCCATTTATACACCGATGGCGTCAAGCTACAATTTAAACACAGCTGCTCTGGGTCTCCAAATTCCTTATGCAGAATACTTCTAAAAAGTGTTTATACTGTAAATGCAAATTCATTGTGGCAAGAAAAATAATCCTCCTTTTTTATCTACTCCATTTTCATTATTTTTTAAACAACAGCAGCTACTGCTATGCTTACACTTCTGATAGATTCCCCAAATGTCAGTGTTATTTTTTGATACCGAGATTATTTAACCAGAGTTTGGAGCTGCTGAGGAAACCTATGGGTTATTTTGAGCACAAACATCAGGAGAACCCGTGGGACTTATAGAAAAAAACACACACAGATTCATGTAAGACAAAAAAGATGATTGCTTTGCTTTCTCATGCTCAATGAAAGCGGTTTTACTGTGAGAATAGACACAGAATGTAAAACATATTTGAGGAAGTCAAGCCTGAAATGTACTTTGTTTCTTTTTGTTCCAGGACCTCCTGGTAAGAGAGGAAGAAGAGGTCGTGATGGAGAACCTGGTATGTACATTTATATTTTGGATCAGAGATCAGAATCCCGTTGTTCAAATAATTTAAAGAAAATTATGCAGTTGGACACTAGCAAGTTTTTCTACAGCCATAACTGCAGAATGAATATATTTAAGACTAAAATCTGCAAGACATTATTATTTCAGGACATGCTGGGATTGATTTCTTTCCTGCAGAAACTATACATTTTCAAGTTAAGAGGAGAGATGTTGTGGTTCCAAAAGAGATAATGATATTCCTTAGGTTTTTCCTCTAGTCTGATAAATTGATTCTCCAGAGATTATAGTAGAAATAACATTGAAAAAGATCACTAAACATTTAACAACTTATTTGAATTGGTTGGAAAAAAAAACAACCTATGATGTACTGTTGTGCAAAAAATAAGCTACACCCTGCTTTAAATCCAATACTTTGCCTAACACGACATACTAGAATGCTACTATCTCATAAATATTCATATGTAAGCCCAATGGAGCAGACACTGTGTATACAAATGAAATTACCTATATGCCTAAATTGGAAATCAGTGAGTATTAGACGAGGAGAATTTTCTTTATGAATTGCTTTGGCATTCAGATGTGTTATAACTAAAGCTATTACATGATCATGTGGCATTTGAGGACATTTTTCAAAGTGAAATCTTTCTGTTGATGCTCTGCAAACGTGATGTCAGCATACAGAGTTTATTTGGTGAAAAAATGTGTAAACTCTTATTGGAAGTTAAAAGAAGCAGTCATTCATAAGTTGTGTAAGTAAACTGAGAAACTGACAAGGGGACAGCACAGTTAAAGTCATAATCAGAGCAACTAGCCATTTTTAAATTGTTAACTTTGCTGATAAAGAAATGGCAATGGAGTGCCAAAGAAGACATAAAAGATTGATATTTACTCTTTAATCAAGCAAAAAGGGTTTTTATTGCTTTTTGCAGTAGCTTCACCTCATGTCAAGATCAAACGAAAAAGAGGGGAAACAACTCCAATGAGTAAAAAGGAGGTAGTAGATGGATTCGAGCTTGTAGAGTAATATTTAAAAAAAAGTCTGTCATTTAAGGCCATGCAACACTAAGGGAAACTACAACATTAAGAACTGAATGTCATAAAGAATACACAATCAATTTAGCCCAAATCATGAGGGAACAATAAAAGGAATCTGTATACATTTCAGTCCTATCTGATTTTTAAAACACTGCAGCCAAGTTTGGTGTATTATGTTTTCTATCGAAAGAAGAAATTGCGTCATATTATTAACTTTGCAGCAATCCCTCATACAGGTAACAGTGGGAAGGAAAACTGACCTTCACTCCCTAGCCGATTAAAATGATGGAAATGTCCTGTGATTCCAGTGTGAGATGAAAAAAAAACACAATACTAACCACAGTGCATAGTTTAGTCTCCATTTTCTCAGCAATAAGAAGTGCTAAATGTTTTCTGCAGTTTAGTTTGCACAAAACATTCAGGGTGGAATCATGGATGTTCTTTGTCTACCAAATGGTGGAGAAGACTTAACGTGAAGCCATTTGTGAGATAAAGTTTGACTTAAAATGGATGCTAAAGGAAGGATTAAAAGAGAACAGCATCAAGGTTTTGCAACGGGCTAGTCAAAGTTCAGACATCAACCCAATCAGAATGACATTGCAGGACTTAACAGGTATAGGCACCAGCACCTCTCGCTACCCCGCTTGGGATTAAGTGTGTAAGAAAATGGATGGATAGATGGACTTAACAGGTTTAAAGAAATGTTGCAAAACTAACTGAACTTAAACAGTGCAAAGAAGACTGAATTCTGTGAGATGCTAATTAGATCTTTCTATCTTCCTAAGTTTTCTGCAATGCACTGCTGGCAAAGGCAGTTCTGCATGTAATAGAATGTCCTAGTGAATCAAAACTTCAGATTGAAAAACTAGGTACATTCTTTTCACTGTTGCTGTAATTAAAATGTCCAATCTCCTCCATCTATCTCCTATACCCCCCATCCCTCCCCTCTTATCTGAATAAAAAGTCCAGGCCGAACTGAGGCCTTGTATATCTGAGAGAATGAGATTTTGTACACTGACACCTCTACAGCCCAAGAGTGTCGCCAGGAATTGAATTTGCAGCAAGCGTATGCACTTTGCTGGCAGGGAGACGCATCCATAATGCAATGATAGAAAACTGATAATGGGCTCAGAAGTGTGTTAGTTTTCTGAGCTGAAGCACAGTGCAATAGAGCACAACGAAAGGGACTTGGGAACAAAGGTATTGCCCTTGTAAAAAAGAAATTAGACAGACAGCCTAGGAAAGGGAGTATGTCTGGATTTACTGCCTGAAAATGACATCCTTTGTCTTTGAGGGGAAAAAAAAAAAAAAAAAAAGAATATATATATATATATATATATATATATATATATATATATAAACTTGTTTAAGGTCGGGAAAAATGAAAACCAATAAACTGAGGTTTGCTGTTCAAGTAAAACTAATTATATTCATTTATTTACTTTAATTTTTTCTTAATGAATAGACAATGATTCCAGGGATTGGTTTATACATCTTGTAAATTTGTATGGTTAGATTCAGTGTCCTCCTTTTTTGTATATGTAGCAAAAATGATGTTCCTGTGTATTGTTGACTGAAATGAAATGTGGGAAATCAAATGATAGACAAAACCTTCAATATCACAGCAGGTTGTAAGTCTGAAATGTTACCAGACTTTGATTTTGATGAGCCAAACTCCCAGATAAACATCTATCACATCCGCATATCTCAGTTAGCCTCGTTGTATAGGCACTTTTTTCTTTGCTTTTCAAGCTGAGCAAATGTAGGGACTGTGAATAACTTTCTCTTGACAAGTCAATTGGAAAATAGCAAACCAACGTATTGTCTCCTGACACAGTGGTTGGTAGGAATATTAGGCCTCATCTTTGTAATATCCTGTTATATTAATGTGTTGACAAAATAATGAGGTTTAGTAGATGCCATCATGCCAGCAAGAACTTGATTTTTCCTACATATTTTTTCACTTAACACAAAAAGCTCTTTATTTGTAGTTTTTCAAAGGGACAAAAAGCTGAGTTATCATTTCTCTTATTTTGCAAAAGCAAAGTCCTTGACAGGCACAGATGTAATGAATTCCTTTCTAAAAGCCTTTTGCTATTCTCCCAGAAGTTCTTAAAACTCTGTTCATTTTTTACCCTAAAGCCGATCATGTGTTTTTCATGATCCACTCTGACCAAAATTATAATTTCTAAAGGCAGAAGGAAGCTTTCAGGCGGGCTTTGCTGAAGCTCACTGGAAGAAAAATTGGAAAAAGACATAGTGATATTTTCCGGTGTTAAATATGAATGAAATAGTTCATTAGGATCACTTGTTTGCTAACTGGGGACATACGGAAAAGGAAAAAAGTGGGATGAATAAGGTTTTTGCTCAGGGAAACACCACAAAGTCAAAATGTTCTAACACGTAGTCATTGCTGGAAAGGTTTGGTTGAATATTTTCCTTCTATGCAAACAATCAAGACTTGTTAGTAAGTACCAGCGCCAATGAAAAAAGGAACAGATCCTTAAACTGGCAAGCTCCAGCAGCCGAGCGTGGCGGTGGAGTGAATAGTTCAAGAATGGACTTTTTAATGTCCCCATATGGATATTAAAATGTCTTGTGCTGTAAAGTGCTTAATCCTTTGACATTTGTACTAAAAACACTGTATGAATAATATATAGGTTTCCATTCTCTTTTGTTTAAATACAGATGAAGAAAGAGGTTAAAGTGGGACTTTTTCACTCATAAAAAAAAAATCCTAGATGAATCAGGTAATTAATACAAAAAAGATTACTTCCACCTGATGTCTAAAAACAGGGAAAAACCAATCCTATATCGTGTTGCAGCAAGACACCAATACAAGAAAACCATAAGATCCTTCCTTCCTTCCTTCCTTCCTTCCTTCCTTCCTTCCTTCCTTCCTTCCTTCCTTCCTTCCTTCCTTCCTTCCTTCCTTCCTTCCTTCCTTCCTTCCTTCCTTCCTTCCTTCCTTCCTTCCTTCCTTCCTTCCTTCCTTCCTTCCTTCCTTCCTTCCTTCCTTCCTTCCTTCCCTCTCATGTTAAACAATAAATTAACACCCCAAAATGGCAAAATTATGTCATTTCATTGCTTCTCTTAAGCAGAGAAAGAGAGATGCAGAGAATTAAGAGTTCTCCTTCCAGCAGGACAACACGTCCCCAAACACTCAGTCACAGCTACAGTAGAATGATTTAGCAGCCTATTCACATGTTAAAATGGCCTAGGTAATATCAGCTTTTAAATGTAATTTCAAACTTGGGAAAACAAATAGATTAACTTTTAGTTTCAGATATTACAAAAAGGAGAAAGGGTAAAACTTTCTCTTCTTAGCACGTACGCCAACAGGGTGGGGGGGCCCAGAATCAGCTCCCTCCCTTTTTGCCACAAAAAGCATTATTTTTTTTTTTATTAAAGATGTTTGCGAGGAAATTGGAGCTTTATTCTTAAGTGTCATGAAATATTTTCCCAAAATATTTTTTGGGAAGTACCACCACCAGATATGTACTGTACACCCAATGACTGTTCACTAGTCTGTTACATCATGAGGATTATAACAATTTTTTTTTTATCATTTTAAACTACAGTATGTTACTTTCTTCTCATTTCATGGTTATCCAATGCTTTGTATTTAAAAGTAAAAAAGTCTGGGGTTGTAATACACTTTCCCAAGTTATAATTACCTTCCTTCCTACATTTATTCCTTCCTATACTTACTACCATAGTTTTCAGTCTACTTTTCTTTGTTTCTACCCACTTTTCATATTTCCTAGCAACTTTCCTCCCCCCTTCTTTGTATTCTGTGACGTTTACTTCCATTCTTCCTAATTGTTCTTCTTTACTTCTTTTTTTGTTACTAACATTTGCACTACCCTAAATTCTCATAACCTTTGCCAAAATATTTGCTATTTCATCCTCCACAAGATAGCCTTTTCTATAAATTATGTCTATTATTTGTAACTTGCTAGTAGAATGACATAAAGAATGTGAAGCTTCTATCTAAAGATAGAGCTTTAAGCTATCAATGATGTGAGATTATAAAGGTGAAAATGATTAAAGTTGGATCGGGATGATTTAATTATTGTACCTCCACAAACACCCAATTTATTTGTATACAGAAGAAGGTTTGCTGAAACCTTGTTCTCCTTTAATTCAATCATTCATTAAACAGCATATTAGCTTGGCCCACTAAGTCTCAATCTCATGACTTCTCATGGGCCCCAGCTGTCAGACCGATTTGAGCAAATCATGGAGAAGAGCGGTTCAGGGGACGTGGGGATGGTAAAGAAATAAAATCCTTTTTCTCAGGGTTGAAGCAGCTGGGAACCTTTTTAATAAAAAGTCCAATATTTGCTTGGTTCTGGGAGTGTAGCATTGTTCTCTCACAGAGTCCTTTGAGCTTCAGTAATTGGGGAAAAAGTGTCACCTCACAAAAATCATTGGAGATTTTTAACAAGCACACAACCCCTTGTATAATAAAATCAGAGCCACTTACAAATTTAAAATGTGATTGCCATCCCTGATGGCATTTTTTTCTCCCAACTGGATGGAAAACAGAAAGTTTAAGTCCTTGGGAAAAATACTACCTATATGGAAAGGAGATATCTAATTCTTATAATCAATCGATCATCAGTTAAACTAAATGATTGGAATACTGTACTTGAAATGTTGTAAAGACATACATAAACTGCATCCAAATCTGATAAAATTACAAGGAAATGCATGAGCTTACAAAAACCCAGAGACAGTTGGGTGTTAAATTATTTCCACCTTTAGTATTTTTTATTTTGCACATTATGAACATATTACATGCTCATTATCTTTTAGAATAAATGCCCATATTTTGTTGTTTTTAACCTTAGTTCATTATAGAGATGCTTGCACCACAAAAAAAACTGTTCTTTAGTAGATTTCACCAAAATACATAAACTCTTAAATAAACATATTTCAAAAGCTTTCTTACCTTGGTTGGTTTTTTTTACCTTCTAAACTTCAGCTAAGACAGATATTTCCTAAACTGAGCATCCATTTGTATCTCCTGTTGGGCTTACATCAGTTAACCCATGGAAATGGTGAAATGAAGAATCACGCAACAAAAACAATGGTAGAACACATTTATTTCCAGGCAAATAAGGTGCATAACAAAAATATTTAAAGAAAACATCAAGTTTCTTCAAAAAATGTAAACTTTACATAAAGATAAGCTATATAAAGTCTTAATTGTGAATGTAGCTTGCCTCAGGAAAAGCATCAATCCATATCTGGTAGCAGGTTGTAATGACTTGCTGTGGCACCCCCTCAACATGGGAGCAGTTGAAAGGACACAAATACAGAAAACCTAAAATACTATGTGTTCATATATGTATGGAAATAATAAAAAGGGTGTATAAAACATGTATGGAATGTTGACGCATCTTTTCGCATATACTTTAGTTTTCATGTGATTCTTGTGAAATACATTGTATCATATTGTATGAAATCGATTCAGTGACCACTTTTAAGAGTAAGACATAAGTCTTTAATGATGTGCATTATATACAATAAAAATGGAAATTATTGAATGCTGGCATTTCTTTTTTATATATCTAGGTATTCTCCTTTCTGAAATAGTGATACTTTGTGTTTGATTGCAATTTAAATATAAACTAAATCAAGTTTTCTTTTATTTTCTCTTTCAGGACCTCCTGTAAGTATTCTTGCCTTGTGACTTCATTTGAGAGTTCAATGTGAAGGTAAAAACCTGAGGTCCTGTTCTTTGATCTATTCATTTCTTTAAAGAAAGAGAAGAATGCTACAAGGTCTAATAATAAGAAAAATTATTACAGTAGTTACTGAGGAGCAGGAATTAGTTAATTTATGTTATTGTTTGATTTTTCTTGAAATCAGTTGTTTTTTTCTTAATAAGGTTTCTGGACAGTTAATCTGTAGAGAAGCTAAACAATCACAAAACAATCATATAAGTAACAACTCATTAAATCGTATAGGCATGTCATGCAAGATATTCCTAAGGGACAACAGAAATGCCTCAGTAATCCTCACTACCTACAAAAAGAGGACAGCACAGTCTTACTCAATTGAAAATACTTCATAAATGTTTTGGATTTTTAGCCTACTACCTTTGTAAGTGCATGTGCTGTCTATGGGTGTAATATTGGCATCTCCAACTCCCTTATTTCTGCTGTCAATATGCTTGGCGGAGACAGAAAAACATTTACAAGTGCAGCTATATTTGACTTATGGTTGGTGATCTAATAATATGTAAAAAAAAAAAAAATTGGCTGCTGTTATTGTAGGGATATTATATCAGGTATTCAAACTGAGTCTTTTAGTATCCGTACAGTAACAGTTCAGTTCAGCTTTTGACTTATTAAAAGAACTGCCAATATAAAGCCAGGAGCCTGAAGCCAGGTCAGGCAAACAGATCAGAACAGGAACAGACAGTCTCAGAGATCCAGTAGTCCGAAGTCAGGTCGGGCAAACAGATCAGAACAGGAACAGACAGTCTCAGAGATCCAGTAGTCCAAAGTCAGGTTGGGCAAACAGAACAGAAACAGGCAGGCTCAGAGGTCCAGTAGTCGAAAGACAGGTCAGGCAAACAGATGAGAACAGCAACAGGCAGACTCAGTGGTTGAGAGGCAGACCAGGCAATCAGAAACAATAAGGTACGCTAAAAACACTCTCGCCACAGGCTGGAAAGAACAAGAATAATCTGGCCCTGATGATTGGGAGCAAGCAGCTTAAATAGAGGCAGGAGCAGGTGGGTCAGATGAGAGGTATTGAGAAACCGGGCAGAATTAGGCAGGTGAATGAAATTATAATAATATATTAATGATTAGGCCAGTAATCAGTGCCAAGATCATGACACTCTTACAACTAGTAACAAAAAAGAAAAGCCAACATGAAAGATATGTGCAACAAACAGTTGATTCATGCTTCTCAAATTACAGTTGCATTAATCTAATTATAAAAATCACAATAAATGTTGGACACAACATTATTATGTAAATTGTAGCATATGCTGCTTTTTTGTAAACAAAAGCAGCCAGATAATATTGTATTATTTTATTTAATTGTATTATAACAAGGTTGTCTATACATTAGATGAAGTAAGTAAAGATGTAAACTCAGAAATATGCAGCAGTACTTATATTAGTAAAATAACGTAATAGCTTGTGACGTTCAACTAGCATGAATAAGTGGTCATACTACATAATCAAATTTACTTCTTCATCACCGCCTTTCTCTAATAGGGACCCTTGTTGCTGTCATCTGGGCAGTCTGCTTTATAACATTCCTCCTACCATCATCCATCCCTGGCAGCTCCCAGAACCTGCAGAGATTATCTCACCTCATTACGCAGGCTGCGGATCACAGATTCAGTCCTCAGAACAGATGGAAAACTTCAGACTTTCCCCTAAAGATGAGGAAAAAACACATACATGCAGACATAAGCAGTAGGGTTGTGACAGTTTGCTTTATAACCAGGTCAAGCGGGCAGTGCGTGCATACATATGTGTGCGTGCGGCTATTTTCTTCTTTTGTACATAGCCCAGAGGCAAGTGTGGCTGAATAGGTATAATAGCGTGTGCCGACTGAGCTGTAAAAGTTGTAAGTTAATCCTCTGAGCCTTCTCAGACACTCGCTCGTGGGGCTCTGGGATATAAGTAAGTGCAGGTGGTCTAGCTTTTCAGTTTCTTTTGCCAGGCCATATAGCTGACAAATGAAATCATTCTGTGAGATGCTGCGAAATAGGACAGAAGTCGAAAAATCGTTTGATATGTTTGTATGGATGGAGAAGTCCATCTCTTCGCGTACTGGAAAACTAATTCATGAATCACATAAACCAATCATTTGTGTGAGACTGTAAATTTGATCCACTTGAATACTTGACAGTACTCTAGTTGTGACCAGGTGATTGCTGCCAATATGATTTTGTCAGTTGGAATCAATAGCAAGAAATATGTTAGAGCAGAGAAAATAAGAACTGAGCACACAAGGATATGCAGCATCTATCTATCTATCTATCTATCTCAGTGTGACAGGTAGTAAGTATTAAAAGCCTCCTTGAAATGGCAAAAAACACAACTCTAGGAGGAAAACAACTGTTGTTTCTAGTGTACGATTTTGACCCCTTAAAAGTAGAAAAAGTATAGTAATTGTAGGGTTCTGGGGGACTCTATGCAAGCTTGATGATGTTTTAATTAGATTAATGTCAGGTGATTAACTCTTTTCAAAAATTTCCTGCTGCTTTTATTTGAAGACTTACACTACGATATTGTTAAATCATAGTCCTACACCATAAAGCTCCCCCCTATCAATTACAGTGTTGATTTAGAATTCAGCTGAATGCACCGGTATTAATTCATACTAATAGTACAAGGGTTTTCTGTCTGTTTAGTTTCTTGTATTTCTGTTACTCCACCTTATTTTATGAAGCAAAATTTAAGGGCTAAGTCGTTTTTGTGTCTTTAAGTGAACTATGTGAGTTGTCCTGTTATTTAGGGTGAATGTTCTGTCTAGAGCTTAATAGATTTAAGGAGAAAAATAAAGACATCTTCTATGCTCATTTTTTCGTGTAAAACAGTACTGAACTAAATTTACTCAATAAAAAAAAAAATGCCATTAAGCACTCATAGTTGTATCTTTATGGAAATGACTGATTCTGTACTCTGACAATGGCTTAGCCAGTGCTGACCAAATCTGAAAGAATCAGCAGTCTATGTGATCACATGTGGTTTCTCATTTGGTATGCCCACCCAGAGGATGGCAGGGGACACATTGCTATAAATATTCATTAGCCATACTTTGACTCGGGAACACCAAGTAAATTCTACACAGCCCTCTGATCCTTCCAAACAAACCAACCGCTGCGGAAAACATCATCACAGATCCGCATGACCTAATTGTTGTTCTTTGAAACTGATAAATGGACAGGAACACACAGTTGTTAACTTCTATAGGATTTAACCTCTTTAGAAGCTTGTGTTTCCAGTTACACATGGAGAAGTTATGCACTTTTGTTTTGATTTCCATTTTATTCCCAACTCTTGAGTTTTTCCTTCAGTTTTAAAGCACAAGTTTGGTGATGTTGGGTTGTTTACTTATTTGTCTATTGAAAACAAAGAAATTGCAGACTTTGAAGGTTGGAGTTTGAGTAGTTCTGATCTAAGTTGACGCTTTAGGGTTACAGTATTGGCTGAAACAAGTTTTATAAGAAAAAGAGAAAACAGAAATTGACATTTGAGTGGAAGACACACATTGTACCAAAAAGATGTTAAACTAATTGCAGCGCATCATTCCACTTGAAGTATGCTAATGAGCTTGTTACTGGACTAGGTAATATTTACACAAGCAACTTTTGCTGTTTCTTCCAGAGATGCAGAAACATGTCTCTGTCTATGATTTCCTCTATGTGTCATGCCCATAATGAAAGCTAAATTGAGCTCCAGCTTTCCTAGTTGGAATTTAGGAGGCAATGTTGTTGTTTTACTAACTGGGAACTTGGAAAGTTTGACATATGATAATATAGAGAATGTGCAATGAAAAGTCATTATAGTCAAGCCTGTGACAAATGCTTAAGGGTTTTTTGTGTCGGTGGGGCCCGATGCTTCTGATCTAAGTGATTGTTGACATAATTAAGTTTAAACTATGAAATATTTGGGGTGCAGTTATCGGGGTACTTTTTCTCATCTTTCTGGGAATATGAGAGTGGTTCCTGTGAAAAAATAAACCTCACCACTGAATGTGCACACCATTTAGCACCAATCAGGCATAAAACACTGCCTGAGAGACTGCACTCAAACACTCGTTTACACTGATGTTTTTTTTCCCCTCTTTTTAAACTCAGATTCCAAAGAATATTCAACAAAAAAGTAACATACCTTAAAATCTTATTAAAATGAAAACACATTTAAAGATGCTACGATGCTCAAGTAAAAAAAAATAAACTGCCCTCTCAGGCAACACCTGCTACAGTGGAACACAAACCCCCTCTAAGGTCATGTTAGAAGTCACGTAAATAAAGCTTTATATTCCTGAATCTGTGTTTGACAAGTAGTTTCAAGCTCCCTACTTCATCTGCTGAGATTTCTGTGATGCGATTAGAGGATGATCTGTCACAAAGTATGAATTATGCATCTGCAATACGGCGATTAGGGGAAGTGTGGCGATGATGCACCCTCAACCCTTCATTTGATATTCGCCACAGCTCTATACCTTTTAATAAAACATCCTTCCAGCAGGAATTTGATCACTTCTGCTTATCTGCCCCTACAGCATATTTAACTTAGCAAACTAAGCAAACACATCGGTTCATTTTTTTTATTTTTATGTTTTGTTGGATCAAGGACTTGAAATAAAAAGGTAATGTATAGATACAGAACCTTACTAAAGAATAAACACCCCTTGAACTTTTAAACATGCTTTTAATGTTAGTTTCGCAAACAGGGATGTATGTTTTTGGATTTCTAACTTGGCAAGCCGGATTGATAATGTGAAGCACCCAGGTTTAGTTCTGCACATAATCAATCTGGGGCTTCTCCCTTCTATTCTGTTTAGGAAAAAGAGGGACTTTTCAGCACAAACCTTTAGAAGTTTCCAAAACAAAGCCTTGTGTGTGATTGGTTTTAGCTCATTAAGGTGAGAAAGAAAAATGTCAGTAGACGCCATGAGAAACAACAACAACTA